CCGCATACTCCTCGCTGAACCGCGTGCACTGCAGCATGTGCTCGGCGTTTGTCCACGTGTACGTGCCCTTTGCCAGCGGGGGCCCAATGTACCGCTGCTGCGCCTCTGCGACGCCAAAGCACGGCGTCATCACATCAACACCGCCCTCAGCATACACCACGCCCGAGGCAAGCACCACCTGCACGGTGACGTGGTCGTTGCAGTACTCCTCGCCGTGCACGTACCACAGCTGTGCCAGCTCCAGCAGCTCTGTGTGCGTCATGTCTCTGTGCAGCGGTACGACAATGCGCTTGTCAGCGGCCTGGTACGCCGTCTGCACGCGCCCAAGCCGCGCCTCAAGCACAAGCACGCCGTCCTCAGGCAAGCCAACCACGCTCGTGCCGTCACGACTCTTCTCCTCACCACCAGCACCTTCATCGTTGTCACCATCACCAGCAGCACGCTCGTTTCTGTCGCTGTTGGGTGTGCTGCTCTGATCAGCGTCGCTGTGGATGCCCCTGATCTTGACACACATGCGCACGAGGTGGTCGCGAGACCCCTGCCTGTACCGAGCCGTTGCACTGTACGGCAGACACAGGTTGGTCTTCTTGCGCTTCGTGCTGTCACCCCCTACAGCAGCACCACCACTGTTGCTGTTGCTGTTGCTGTTGCTGTTGCTGTCATCATCACCCTTATCTTCGTTGGTGTCGGTGTCGGTGTCGTCTTGCTGCCAGACACATTCGCACACGGGGTCAATCTGCACCCAGGGCGTGAGCGCGAGCAGCTGCTGCATTGCGCTCGTCGGGGCGTAGGGAGCGGCCTTGTACGTTGCCTCAAACACATGGACAGCGGCGGAGGTCAGCAGGTCCGCCAGGCGCGTGTGGGGCGGGCGTGGGTCCATGTACTGCAGGACATCTGGTCCGGACATGGGGAACAGCACATGCTCGTCGACTAAGATGACGCTTGGGTCCTGCAGGGCGTTGAACGTCTTGGTGACAAGGTGCGGCCCGATGGCCAGGCGGTCACTTGGGTCGTAGCGCAGCGTGTCAATGTGCCCAAGAATACTTGCAAGCATTTTGTGGCGCGCCTGGAAGCGCAGCACGCCGTTGGCAAGGTACCACGTGCTGTCAACGCACCAGGGGCAGCGCGCCAAGATGGGCCGGCTGTCAATCTTGCCCAGGAAGTTTCGGCCAATGGCGTGGGCGAGCGGGGACGCGTCCAGCCACACCAGGTCCGTGTCGCTGAACAGACCGCCGTACTTGTACAGCACGACGTACCGCAGGAAGTCGCTCTGGTGCGTGGGGAGATGTGGGCCTTGCTCACGCAGGGCAGCGCGCAGCCACCTGCCGCCAGCAACGCCGGCGCGCACGAGGCGGGTGGGCACGATGCGCCACACATACACGCGGTGCGATGCCTGCAGGCTGTTGAAGAAGGTGACGGGAAGCGTGTTTGACACGATAATCACGCGCGCACGCGGGAAGATGCGCAGGGCGGACTCCACCGCCAGTCTGTTCAGGAAGGACCACGTGTCGCGATGTGACGTCCAGACAAAGAAGATGTTGCAAATGTCGCTGGTTGGGTTGCATCCATCGGGCACGCCCCCTTCGAGGAGCCGCTCCACGGCGTCAAATGCCTCAAGCTGCGACATTGTGTCGTGCAACAGCCCGTTCGTTGCCCACCGGCGCGGGCGTGACGCTTCGTGGAACAAGGACACAGCACCTCCGTCGTTGTTGGCGTTGGTGTTTGTGTTTGTGTTTGTGTTGGTGTTGGTGTTGGTGTTGGTGGTGTGGGGGCGGTGTGCCAGGTTTGGCCATGCGTTTGGCGAGTGGTGCAAGGCGGCGTCCAACAAGCGCTGCAGCCACTGCGACGGGTGCCGGGACGACGGGGCTGCTGCCAAGGCCGTCTTGATGGCGCGGAGGGAGGTGATGGTGAGGTCCACACGCCGCGGTGTGGCGATGCCTGGGCGGAGCGTGGTGCGGCGCCGCAGCAGGGCGAACACTTCCCGCTTCTCACACGCGAGCGACGGGTGGAAGGACACGCGCACGTCCCGGTACCACTCCACATCAAAGTGGGCGAGGAAGAACGCGATGGTGGCCTCCGTGGCGTACACGACGCTGGTGTCGCCCGCAGGGGAGTGCAGGGCGTTTGCCAGCACGCACGGGGAGGGGTCGTCGCCGGCAAAGTAGACGTCGTGGAAGGCAACCACGCCGCCCGCGCGCACGTGCTGCGCCAGCTGCAGGAGCCAAGTGTCTGCCACGTTGGTGAGGGCGAGGGAGCGCGAGGCGAAGACGGCGGTCGCTGCTTGCAGGGACGCGGAAGGGGAGAGCATAGGGCGGCCAGAGCGGCAGCGGCGAGCCGTGGCAGGGGATGCCCCGCAGATGGTGGTGTGGACGTTGATGTGCTTGGGAACGTGCGCCGAGTAAGCGAGCGCATCGCTGTCCATGGGCATGAGCAGGGCGCTGACGAGGGAGGAAATGTACTCATCGTGGATGGGCAGCCCGCTCGGCACCTCCAGCACCTTGCCTTGCTCGCTTGCAGGATCGCCGTCTGCTTGCTGGTGGATGTGCAGCCGCGCAAGCTGCACCATGTGGGCCCACCACTTGCGTCGCACTTGATCCATGGTGGCTGCTGTACCGCCTTCGCTACTACTACTACTACTGCTAATGCTGTCCGCGTTGTCGTTGGCGTCCTTGGCATGTGCGGATCGTGCTGCGCGCTGCTGCTGTGCTGCTGCACCCTCGTGCTGAGCAGCCTGGATGGCGGCGAACCACACGGACGGATGCGACCACGTGGGCTGCTGGATCGCGCCGAGGTAGTGCTGCGCAATGCAGTGGGCGAGGGTTTGCCTGTGCGTGACTGGGCGCAGCGCATTGCGGTCCACATCTGCGCGAGCGTGGTTGCGGTTGGCATCGCCGCTGCGGGCACTGGACGCAGACAATATGAGATCGTTGAAGGGGGCCTCGGCCACGCGGTGGAGGTCAAGGAAGGCGGCGGCGTCCGCTGTATCGTGTATCAGGGATGCGGTGATCAGAGGTGCCACCTCCAAGCTGGGTGCTCGGCACTTTGTAAGGTCGGGCACGTCGGACGCATTGTACCTTGCGGATCTGTTTCTGCGCAGAGCAGCGAGCAGTGTGATGCACAGTACAATGACAACTATGGTGCGCCAGCGTCGCTGCCACAGCAGCTGTAAGCGGCGTAACCTCGGCACCATCCTTCGGCAACTACAGCGGAGACCCACCACCATGCAAGACACAAGGACCGGGAGGGGGGCGATGGAGCTGAAACGCTGCTCCAACAAGAGTGGAGGCAAATGGGAAAGCCTGCGCAAAGAGAGAAGAGCCACGGATGAAGAAGAGAAAGTAGATGAAAACACAAAAGAGGAAAAGAAATCAACCAAAAGGAGGGCAAGCGGTACGTGAGTGCAGCTGCTGTTTGAGATGGAATCCGTGGATGGTGCGGGGCGTCAGTCAGAGCAGTACCAGTCGGTCGGTCCATTCAGTCAGTCACAGCGTGACACATGTGCTGATGGGGGCGTGTGTGGCTGTGGTTGATGGTGCTCTTGAGGCGGTTGTGGATAATTGTTTGTGATTTCAACAATAATCGTGAGAAAGCCAGACAAGACTGGCAAAGGAGGCAGCGAGCGAGTGAGCGCATTGACACCAGCGCAGTTGTGACAACACCTCCAACCGCAGAGTGAGCGGGACGAGCCTTCACGTCACGCGTGTTGAGTTGAACTTCCCGCCTGTGTGAGGATCGACCAGTGACCACCACCACCACCACCACCCTGGGCGATGGCGGCGGCTGGGTTTGAAGAAGCCGTGTATGTGGTGTTTGGGTGCGTGGCTGTGGGCACCATTGCGGCGTTTGTGTACACGAGCACGTTCCACAAGCTGTCCAAGAATGCCGACTTTGTCACCTTCCAGTACAAGTACCTTGGCATCTACCTTGTGGCCATGATGGCAGATTGGCTCCAAGGACCTTACTTGTACAGGCTCTACGAGCACTACGGCTTCCTCGAGGTTGGTGTGATTGTGCGATTGTGTGATTGTGTGATTGTGTGATTGTATGAGCGTGTGTGTGTGTGTGTGCGTGTGCGTGTGTGTGGTGGTGTGTATGGTTGTGATTGAGTGAGAGGGTACGTGTGTGTGTGGTTGTGATTGTGATTGCATCTGTGTCTGTGTCTGTGCGTGTGCGTGTGTGTGGTTGTGTGTACGGTTGTGCTTGCATCTGTGTCTGTGCGTGTGCGTGTGTGTGGTTGTGTGTACGGTTGTGCTTGCATCTGTGTCTGTGTCTGTGTCTGCGTGTTTATTCCTGTGTGCGTGTCTGTGTGGCCACCTTGTATCGCGTTTGCATGTGCGTGTGTGAAAGTGCAGCTACCTTTTGTCTGCTCACTTGTTCGCCCCCATGCCCTTGTCCCTGGCTCGCGTTTCACACCCTCATTACCCTTCTTTCTCACCTCCCAAAACCACATCCACCACCACCTTCCAACCGTTCGCTGCAGGAGCAAATTGCTGCGCTGTACATCAGCGGGTTTGTCAGCTCCATGCTGTTTGGGCCCTTGCTGGGAAATCTGGCAGACCGGTATGGCCGGCGCCGGCTGTGCATCACATTCTGCTACCTCTACTCGCTCAGCTGCCTGATGAAGCTGTCTAGCAGCTTCTTCCTCCTCATGCTGGGCCGGATCCTGGGCGGCCTCTCCACCTCCCTCCTCACCTCCGCGTTTGAGAGCTGGATGATCTACCAACACAACAAGAAGGTTTGTCGCGCTGTGTGGTTGTGTGTGTGTGTGTGTGTTTGGTGGCAGTTGGTGGTGGAAGTGGGGTGTCTCCTTTAGGAAGGAGGGAACAGGGTTTCTAATTCGTTGCTGCACGTGTCTAAGCACCTGTCGGCCCTTCACCTCACACACACACACACACACAACATTGTGTGTGTTCCATGTGAATGGGCAGGGTTTTCCCGAGGAGTGGGTGTCGAGAACCTTTGCCATTGCCACCTTTGGCAACGGCGTTGTTGCTGTTCTGTCGGGCGTTCTCGCCAACTTTGTCGCTGAACTCCACGGCCACCACCGTGCGTCACACTAGACGTGGTTTAAGAGGGAGGGAGGAGAAGGTTGTGTGAGTGTGGGAGAGTGTGTGTGCGCGTGTAAGAAAGAGACAGAGAGAGAAACAGAGAGAGAGGGGAGGGGAGCTTGTGTGTCTGTGTGTGTGCGTGCGTGTCAGAGAGAGACACATCTGTGCACAGCAGGAGCGAGTACACGGTTTGGGAACTTGGCTCTCACACAATTCTTACTAAATGTGTGTGCGTGTTTGTGTGAGCAGCGTTGCGGCCTTTCTTGCTGTCTGTATGCTTCCTGGTGCTGTGTGCATATCTGATCATGACATTGTGGGAGGAAGACGAACCCGAGCTACTGCTCCGAAAAAACGCCCCCTGTGGTGCAAGGTACGCGCGCGCTTGTGTGTGTGTGTGTGTGTGTGTGTGTGTGTGTGTGTGTGTGTGTGTGTGTGTGTGTTGTGCACGTGTGTCAATCCTTGCTGCTGATCTGCCTCTGGTTCGTTTGTCATCAATCTGTGCCTTCCGTTTGATTGTGTCGTTGCTCTCTGAAGTTGCACGGCACCAATACCTCAAGCCTCACAGATAACCACCACAAACAACAACAACAACAACAACAACAACAACAACAACAACAACAACAACAACAACAACAACAACAACAACAACAACAACAACAACAACAACGCCGCCAGCGTGCGCACCATCTTCTCCTCGCGCAAGATCCTGCTGCTTGGCGCTGTGCAGGCGACGTTTGAGGCCGCCATGTACATGTTCGTGTTCATGTGGACGCCTGTCCTCGATCCGCGCGATGTGGACGTCCATCCGCCGCTCGGCGTCATCTTCGGCACATTCATGCTCGCCATCATGGCCGGCAGGTGTGGCATGTCATGTGTGCGTATTGTTAGTGTACTCTGTGTGCGTGTTCTGTGGCTGTGAAGTGCATTGTGTAAATGTGTGTATGATGCATGCACTGCACCGCTCACGCTGCCTCAACACACACACACACACACAAATCATCACGATCATCCGTCGCCAGCTGTGCCTTCCGTTTCTCCATTTCCAAGTCTGTGCCTGTGATGCAGACGGTTGGCTATGCGTTCGCCACGGCAGCGGTCTGTCTCTTTGGCGCCGCCGCTGTTGAGAGCCGCAGCGCTGCCCTTGTCTTCTTCATTGTCTTCGAGGCCTGCTGCGGTGTTGTCTTCCCAGGTAAACGGAGGGGGAGGGGGCAATGTGGGATTGTTTGTGGCGTGGGCACCCTGTTTGCATGTGTGCACGCTCGTCGCTTGTTCTGCAAGCAGCTGCTCACCACTGCACACAAAAGTATGCACACACACACGCACGCACTCACGCACACATTCACACGTGTTCACACGCATGGACACCCGCAAACACACATATTAACACATATTCACTATTCACATGCACGTACGAACATGCATCATCTCCTGTCCCCAACTGCACGCGCAGGGCTCGGCACGCTGCGCAGCGAGCTGCTGCCGGAAACGGAGCGCGCGAGCATCATCAACATCTTCCGCGTGCCCCTCAACTTCATGGTCGTGGTCTTCCTCACCATGGTTGGTCGGCTCACCTTCTCCCACCTCTTTGCCCTGACCGGCGCGCTGTGCACGCTGGCGTTTGCTGCACACGTGTCACTGCAGCGTGTGATTGCTCGCGAGCTGTATGACGCCGCACAGCAGACGGCCGCATAGCATTGGAGGTGGTGTGTGTACTTGAGCCGGGGGGGGGGTATGGTTTGCTTGGTGTTGGCTTGCTTGGGTGATGCTGGTTGATGCTGGTGGAAATGGTTTGCTCTGTGAGTTGGTAATGGTTAAATGACTGAATGCGTGCACGGTGGGTTGGTGGATCTGAACAAGGAAGGGGCACCACAGGCTTAAAGTGGTGCTTGATAAGGCTATGACATTGCGATAAACGACCGAGAACTTGTTTAGTATCAAACCACACACGCACAAGCGGACAGCACGCACGCGCAAATGTAACAGGCGCACACACGCACACACATACACACACGCACGCGCACACACACACACGCACGCACGCACACGCACGCACGCAAACACACACGCACGCACGCACGCACATGCACGCACACGCACGCACGCAACACCAACACACACACACACACACACACACACACACACTCACACGCACACTCACATACACACATCCACACACTGCAGCTAAGAGCGAGCGAAATCAAACAATGGCCATCAGCAATCAAGCCTTGTCAGCTGCTGCAGGTGTGCTGCTGCCAGTGCTGCCAGTGCCGGTGTGTGGGGTTGTGTCGCGGGTGACGAGTGTGGGCACGACGGAGCTGCTCTTGAGTGGCGGCTGCGACGCAAAGATGCGCTTGAACCCCATACGCACGCGGTCCAGCACGCTTGTCGGCGAATCCAGCGCTGTATTGATGGGGGAGTGGCAGTGAGGGGACATTTGGAGGTGAGGGATTGAGGGTGCGCAGCAAAGAAACACGCTCACATACATTTACACACACACACACACACACACACACACACACACAAACACACACACACACACACACACACACACACACACACACACACACACACACACACACACACACAACTGTCACGATTTACTCTCTAAACGAAGAATCAATTGTTAGCTGCTTCCTGTTTGGGTGTCTATTAAATCACCGATGGGGTCGCTTGTCCTCGGACTTGCGGAGGGTGTGAAAAGTAATCCTATACCCGAACCTCCTTCGTCCACGGCGCCATTACATACCAATGCGTGAGGGTAAAACGGGCGTCTCATTGGCCTGCAGCGGATTACATAACGGCAAAACCGGAATCGGATAGGCTCAGCGGGTGTTGTTGCCATGCTG